CCACAGGCCGTTTCTGGTAAATGTCGACTCATCCGTCCAGATAATGTGCTCAATGGAACCAGGCACACGTTGTCGCTGGTATAATAACCAACGGCAGAAAACTCGTCGGCGGACGTGATCGCCGGGAACTAAAGCTTGCACTTTGTGCAATTTGTATGGGCGCATTCGGTTACGCTTCAACACTTTGTGCACTGACTGCAAAAACGTAACAACAAGAATAATACCAACAGGTAATCACAAGTATTAACAATTTAATAAAGAAAACGATTGAACTGTCGCTCGCGCACGCGTGTACAAAATCAACACGGAACTGTTTCAAAAACTACAATTAATAACGAACCCCGACGAATAAACTGAAACCTACTGCGTCACAGCGTGACGACACGAGCCGGCCGGGTTACATTCTGCGAGGCGACACGAGCCGGCCGGGTTACATTCTGCCGTCATACGAAATAAAGAAGTACGCAACTAACAAAAACGTAAAATGGAAATAAAAAATAAATTTATGAATTTTTCTTTCAGACCCCGTGTCTAAAGTATATTAAAAGGTATCTATATGAAAATTGAAATATGTACGTAGAGACATGAAGATTTTAAGGACGAACTTATTTTTTGATAATTTGTTTTGTTTTATTTAAATAAATAAATAAAACGAATTTTCCTTTTCATCTTAGATTAAAAAATACACCTGGCAACACAAAAACATCGAAGGAAAGACGCATATAACTATTTGCGTCTTCCCAACCTAATAAATAAAAAAAACTGCCATTCATTTAACATTTTTACATATTTTGGAAAGGTCATTTGAAGTTGAAAGGACGCTAATAGTAATTTACTACTTTTTTCTTAGTAAATATTAGAAAAGCATTGGTAGTCAGACACAAAAAATAACAACCCGCAACTCTTGAGTAATGATTTTAAAGGGGATATCATACAAGACTTACTACGATAATAATTAAAAATTTTGTACAACCGACTTTAATATAAATAATTAAGGATGACTCAAAAACTATTGGTCTGACCTCGATCAAATTTATATGGGACCACATGTGAAACACCAGCTCTTAGTAATAAGCTCTTAATAATAAGATATAGAATAAAAAGACAAGAATAATTGAAATTTAAGTAATCGATGCAAATATTGTTAAAGATGACGTAGCCACTGGTTAAATAAGTCTTTTCTTTTATGTTGAAGTCTTTTCTAATAAAAAGATGTCATCTGTGATCAACAGTTATGTCTAAAATTCTTACGATAATTTCTAAAATATTGATATTTGTGAATATTAAAAAAATTTAGTAGATGCGCCTTCTTATCATGAGTCATGGTATATTTAACTCATTTATTCAAAAATTGTTAGATGCGCCCATTTTTCTTACGACCGCAGCATTGTTTCGTACCGAGCTAGATACAGGTCGACAGCGGAGGAAGTGTGGGTACAGTCGCGTTCTAAAGTACTACATGGTATTGGGCTATTGTTTTATAATATTATAGTAATTAATTGTTTAATTGTAGAATCATAATAGGTGTTTTACTATTTACTTAGAACTTTGGAAGAGGTGGGAATTAAAAATGGATAATGTTTACTTGAGCATTATTTGTTATTTCTATCGTAAAATATAAAGTAGTTTGTAACAAAAAAACTTAAGCTAAGGGTGACACGCCGTCCATTATGACGTCTTGGGTCACATGAAAGTCAGATGTTGATGGTGTGTTGGTGTTACTGGATGCTACTTCATCATCACTTTCATCTTCGCTTGAGCTTCCGTCATCAGGTCGATCACATGGTAATTTTTTCGGTATTCTCCCTCAACACTTTACTGCACAATTTTCCCCATTCACCTTCTCCTATCATATTTACCTTTTCGATCACTAGTTTGGTCATAAAACAATAGATATAAATAATTTTTGTTTCCTTCCTTTTTAAAACATCGTCGCGAGTCGCAAAGTAAGCTGTGTATGCGACTGTATTTTTGGAGCGAACAAAGCGCGGGAACCAATAGCATGCAGGCACAGTAATACTGGCGGATTGATCCCCCGTCGCACCCCCCTCGTACCTATATGTGATAAATCGCTCAGTGCCCAAGTTCAAGGCCAGCGTTCTTTTTTCACCGTTCGCGCGTACATTAACCTCCATTAGTCAGGTGATATCAATTCAGTTTCCACTGCTGGTTTTATGTTTCAGTATTTTCATGATTTTTTTTATGAAATTATCGATTCATTTAGCTGTACTAACATGATGGCGCGTGAATAAAGCTAATAAAACGTTGTAAAAATATGATTTTTTTTTCATCAGGATCAAATTTATTTGTGACCCATGATCAAAGGTATACTTGGTGCTGTCGCCTGTCTTAGTTTTCGGGAGCGTTCCAAAAATACCCTGTATGTTGACCGAGGAAATACAACAGCTGGCGTCTTCACTAGCCACATATATCCCATTTCTTTTAATAATTTTCCTAAATAGGTCCCCAAGGAAATTATTTTTTTTTCTCTAATAGCTGCTAGAACAAATAGGAACTTTTTTTTTATTATATAAAATTCTTCTATAGTTCTTTGTATTAAACTTCTATCAAAATCGTCGACGTCCATATTTTTGTTTTTCTTACATGATCTTCCTTTTTTAGAAGGCGAACGTAAAGCTAAAGGACCATGTTTAGCTTCTTTTTGAATAACAGTCAATGTCCGTTTAGAAAGTACGGTATAACGGCTCGCTCGATTAAAAGAATAATTTAATGGCCAAGTCAAAACTTCTTTTGTTTTTCTTTAACACACATATCCAGTACTTTCTTCGAAACTTCCCGTGTCTGGTGAGGAATAAAAACACGTTTTTTGTAACTTCTTGAGCTGCTGAGCTTGAAGGCCCCGGTTTGGGCATATTTAAACAAAAAATGTACGTCAAACACTAAAACGGAATCGATAAGCGCGCGATCATTGAGTTATATGTACTACTACGTACTAGAGCTAGCTAGCTAATCCAAACAAAAATTGTGCGCTACCCTATGTCTTCGCGCATGCGCGGTAGATATTTAATATAAAATACTCTTATTTTAATCTACACAAACATATTTCTAAATAAAATGTAATAATAACTATCTTATGAAATTCACAAATCTTTAATTTACGCAATATTTAGTTCAGTGTACGGATTGCAGTACAGTTCAGTTGATCATAGTCAATGTTCGGAATGCGAAATCTAGTGCGTAGTGCGTAGTACATATTATTATATATCGATGCGCGCCATAGTTATCAAGGACAACGCTACACTACGGGCGTTCGAAGCAAGTAACTCGGGCGGCGGGCGGGCACGCTCCCGCCATTTACCTCAGACCGCGACTGCATTCAACTCGCGCGCCCACTGTATATGGCGGCGGGTAGGAAGACCACGCTTTCATAGAATACCAGCACATTATAGCAGCTTAATGCTGCTGCTTTTCATGTGGTGAGTGTAGAGAATCGGAGACCCTCTTTACTGATAACAAGGCATACCATTTCAGTCCTCAGGCGTGGCAACGCGTTTACATTTTAATACCGAATCGAGGATGAATGTAGATGTTTATGAATACGTCATTAAATGCGCTTTGTGTCCGTTTCCACCCTTATTCTATAATAAAATAATTATTAGGTAATTGTTACAAAATACTCATATAAGTTTTTTATATTTAACAGTGGTAGAGCCACGCGGCAGCTTTTGCTGTTGCACGGATGGGCCGGCTCGAACCGGGGTAGTACCACGACCTCATAGAAAACCAGCGTGAAGTAGAGGTTTACCTGTGCGTTTCGCTTGGTGAGTGCAGGTGGCCGGAGGCCCTTTTTACTGGAAATGAGGCATTCCATCTTAGTCCTCACGGGTGACAACGCATCTCTCATCACATTTTGATTCGTAACAGAGGATAGATCTATGGGCCGCAGTAATGACTTACCATCAGGTGGACTGTGTGCTCATTTGTCACCCTTATCCTATAAAAAAAATATATAAATAAATTACAACTTCTTAGACTTCACGTTAAAAAATATTTATGGATCACATTATTAGTAAATATAACGGCGGCTCTACACGTTGGCCAACATACTGGCGAATGTGTTGGCCAACAACGAAGGCCATCGTGTAGAGCGGGTGTTTAAGCTACGTTGATATTTATTGGAACGATGGCCCACAAGTTGACGCGAGATCCGTGTGGTGTCGGTTTTTTGCAAAAGATCAAAGTGATCGCACGCACCTTATTTAAATTTTATATGTGCGTATCGTAACTATTGTCTACATAATGGCAGTAACAATGACCAATGAAAAAACTTTTCCCTTTATAGACCCCTACCAAGCCGGAAATTGTTTGTGAAACATAAGTTTTTCAAGTCTTTTTTTTAAATAAACGTTACCCCCACACTAGGATCTATCGTGGAGGCAGTTTACAAACATAAATTGCATAAGGACAAACATCCAGACCCGGAGCAATTATTTACAGGCCATACAAATACTTGTTCCGTGCGGGATTCGAACCCACGGCCCCCAACGCAGCAACTCATTGCTAAGCCACTACGCCACGGAGTCGTCAAGAAATAAAATTTCCTTTTTTCCATTTCTTTTCGATCACCCTTTTCTTATACACATTCACGTTATAGTGGTATGCTGTTAATAAATAAACCGCAGCAGCCGCATAAATTCGTCCACACATTGGCCTGAACCAAAGCAAACTGAACGACCTTCCAACGTGTGGACGCGATCACAAATTCTTTGCCAATATCTCTGCCAACACATTCGTCACTATGTTGGCCAACGTGAAGAGCCGCCATAATATATTACCAAAATAAATGAAGTGTGCAAACCAACGCACCGCACAGCACGATGCGATACAGCGCAGCTTCTTTACACCATCAACCTTCTTTGTTTGTACTTATATCGAATAACTTACAATTGACTTCAGTTGTTTTCATTGCTTTGTTAGTGCATAAAAATTAACAGTCACCGTGAAATTAAATGTATTCAATTAAAAGTATTTTTTCACAGAATTCTCAAATTGGCTGGTGGGTGACGGAGAAATGTCAGAATGGCCACTTCTACTGGTTTTAATCAACAACTGCCTCAGCGATGACCATGATCTCACGCTAGAGACCCTACGGTTTTTTGAAGTAAGAACTTTATGCTTTATTAAAAGAGACATAATTTACACGTAAAGAAATAAAATTAAAACGTTTTTATTTTAGATAATACTTTAGTTTTTCGTAACAATGAGGTTAGTTTATCTTCTCACGCTAGAATCCCTATAATCTCTACTGAACTTATAGAAAAAATCCATGTTACAGTAATGTAATAATAACCGAATTCCAGACACGGTGGCCAGTCTCAACGGGGACTAGAAATGTGCGCAGGAGAGGGTTGTAGTGCACGCGTGTGTGCAAGTACAGTTGCACTCTCTATTCCCTCACCCTCATAGTCTTATAGAGCTGAACGCACATTTATCCGCGCCGTACGCGCCGTATTTTAGAATTCGTTGTATGATATCATATGAAACCTCGCACACTACACCCGCACCGTACTTGCCGAATTTTATTAAATGCGGTAGGTATCCGATATTGAAGGAGGCATGCATGATGACGTCATATAACGCGGCGCGTTCGGCGCGTGCACATACTCAGTATTGTCTAATGTTGCCAACTTAGTGGATTTTCCACTATATAACTGGTGGTTTCGACTTACATGATAATTTTTGTATTTTTATAACTTTTAATTAATTCGTAATTAATTATACATAAATTGAAATTTTTTTGCATCGATTATCAATAGGAATACTTAGTGATAAATTATTTAAATACTGAACTATAAGAAATTGTTAATTTTTATTCAAAAACCCAATTATACTTGATTACTTAATTATCAATAAAAATAGTTACCTCAAATATACAACAAGTCTTTTTTCTGGTTCAATTGGCCTTCTAAATCTTGAGTTTTCCATAGAGTAATTTCTTGTATGTTAAATGCAAATATCTAAAAGAGCGTTCATCACCATCTAATAAGTCTTTAAATAAAGTATAATATTCTCCATACAATTGCCTTTTTAAATTAATATTATGAATCCAGAATCTTTTATTCTTAATCGTTAGACGGTAGTGCAAAATGGCACGAACAGTGACGTTACGTTAATTAAAAAAAACTCTGTTACTATAATACTTGTTCCAAAGAGGTATTTCGAAATAGTTAATTTTTATTCTCATGTCAAAATTAAAAAAAAAATTCTATAAAAATTGAAAATGCTTTGAAGTCTTACCTTTCGGCAACGTTGCAGTCGTTCGCTTATTTATTTATTTAATCTTTATTATACACCTTATAATAAGGGATATAAGGGACGGAGTTAAATGTCTTATGGTACTGTCTCCCAGTCAACTTCGATGTTATGCGCCGCCGTGCTGTTCGTATATGGAAGTTCTGGACTGAGTATTACTAAATGGCCTATGGATAATTATTATATAATGGCTGAATAAGCAAACACAACTTACCGAGTTCCGGAGGTAGGGTCGACCACAAGGCGCAGTCAGGGGGTAAATATGTGAGTGTGTAAATGGTGTGCGAAAGTGTGTAAATGAAACCTGACGTCACCGATGTAATCGGACGGCAGACCCACATGCGCGGCTTGTTCCACAATGTGTATCACTCCAGTGGGCGTTCACCAATTGAGACTTTCTGCTTTTATTTTACTATATTAGTTTATCAATTTTATTATACATTTAATTAACTTCAAATTTAACTGAATCAACTTTAATCGAACTTAAAAACAAGTGACACACTGCTCAACTTAAGAACTGTCGGTCAAAGTTCAATGTCCCAATGTTCACTTAGTACAAAATTATAATCGAATACGAACGTGATCTCCTCTCGGGTCACAAATTTTTAGCGTTCCACCCGACAAAGCAAAATGTCTTATTACGATATTAAAATGCCACACAAACAACTCGTCGACGCAAATTAATGGCAATCGAAGTTAAGTTAATGACTCAAAACTCAAGATAAGCCTCGTTGTCACGTAAAACGCACGAAACAGACAACGCAGAAATCAGAGGCGGTCTTAACGAGACCTAACGATTCCATAGTAACTCCCAGACCGTCTAACCGACACGGCGGCCGCTAACAACTACCTCGCCCACACGTCAGGCGACCGAGCGGTCAGCCGAGAGACCCGTGCGGGAGAGGGGGCCGGCGGTGACCTTAAATTCCATTGGAAGGACACGCCGAGACGCGCGTCTTGAATGCAAGTTTTTAAAATGTTAATATTTGGCCTAAACACTGAGTGTCGAAGCTTTCTTTATTTTGAAGCTGCAACTAATTAACCTTTGCTGTCGTGTTGCGTTCTAGAGCAAATCGAAACTCAATAGTGACAAAAAGCCCGGTATTATCAAAAATTTTAATTTGGAACGGACTAACACAATCGGTCCTAACGGTTCAAGACACAATATTATAATTTAACATTAGTTCTTTGCATTCATCTTTAAATATAGAAATTTTATTATATCCTTAAGTACTTAATTACATTCAAATACGATTAAAAGCAAGAATTCATTATTGATTTCATTTATATCAATATATTCATCACATTTTTGCACATGATGTTTCCACATCAGTGATGTACATATGTATACACATCATGTACAAAAATTACTATAAGCACAGAATAAATAATAGTAATACTTATAGAAGTCTCATGTGATGTTTACTGCTTGCCGACTTTTTAATAGCCTACATAATTATTATTAATTGGATAAATCCCGCACGCAAGCTAAATAAAACTTTATCGCTGCTCGTGAGTGTCCGTATTAATTTGCATCTTTTCACCTTCCCACGTCACTGGTTACTAAGGGCTGTCAATAAAAGGTAAAAATCTACATTGCAAAATGGTAAGTAAGTTACTTAGGTAAAGTACCTATTCTGACTATGATCAACTGACCATATTCTCGCTGCTATGTGAGTTCTGTGATGCCCAACACATGCAATTTGCAAGATCATTCGTCGGGAATCGCGATGCTTGGCCCTGAATAAATAGTAGATAGTGTAAACAATCATATAAACCCGAAATACGACTCCTAACAGAAATGCGATCGTATTCTACTCAGTTAAAATCTTGTAAACAAAATTTTAATCACAGTATTTTGTGTTATTATAACATAAAATAATTTAATTACAAAAGACAAGTATAAGTATGTAAGTATGTACTTGGATAGTAAAGTAAATTTCAACTAAGTTTTGTAATAAATCACTTGGGTATAAATTATTACTTAATTCTTTTTCGCACGTACGTACCTATCTAACAAAAAAAAAAAAAAACAAATAAATTCACCTTTCGTTATCCTTCGGTAACTTAAAAAATGATATATCTGAATCCTTATGTTTGCTCACTAAGCATTCATCCACGCAACAATAGTAGGAACGACGTTTCGCCAGTATAATTTATCAAATAGATAGAAATATAATTATATATTATTTATAATTTTAAGTTACATTGGAATTTTTTCAACTATTTTATCCTAAAACTAAATATACTAAACACTAAACAAAAACTATTTCAACAAGTATTTATAAAAACTATTTAAGTAAACAGCGTTAAAAAAAAACTTTAACATTCAATCGCTTAGAACGCGCTAGCCCCGACTGCGTATGTAACCCGGGGCGCCTCGATATTGTAGCTAATTATTTCACGCAGGTAGCAAGAGTGACAATGGCCTGCTGTAACGCAATAATTTTCCTTTGGCTTAACTACTTAATGTAGTTGATTTATTGTGTACGATAAAATACGCTATATATATATAGTTGATGGTATCATTTATTGTGTTTAACGTAGCACCAACCTATTTATACATACTGTAGAAATTTATCATTGGACGTTTGAAGCTGTAGGTTGATTGGCCTTGTTTTTACGATGAAGGTTTACAAGGAAGGGCCCTTTAATCCACCGGATCTTGACACCAAAATAAAACACCGGCTGCTCGTCTTATTTCTTTAATAGAAGCGCACGGCAATCGGAATTACACAAAATGTTTCCACAATGTTTTCACGCCATAGATTATTGATGCGTTTCATAGATAATGTCAAATTTCTTTTTCATTTCAACTTTTTATATTTAAAACTTACAAATATAAATCCAATTGCCGGTCTAAGATACTTTCAATCGAAATTTACAAGATGATTATACAGCCCAGCCATCTAGCAGAGACCATAGATCTTAATTCACCAATTCGCGATGACGCTGCGATGTATTAGAATTCCTTTCTTACTCAGCGTAAGCCGTTCCCACGTCTAATTTGATTAAACATTTTGCTTTACTTTCAGACAATCGTTGAAAAAGGAACAGAGCATAGTATAAACAGGCTGGTACTGTCGCGTGTGTGCTCTAGGGGCTACTACTCACAACAACCTGTCTTAGAAGAGGACGAAAGAGACAGACTTAATGATGTTTCGCTGTGGCGGGAAAGAGAGAGGAATCGGTAAGTTATATACTTCATATTAAAAATTCGTCATCATCATCGTTACGGTCCGTCACACGTCCACAGCTGAACCTAAGCTTAGCATCGCATGGCATATCTCTCTTCATAGCTCGTTGAGCGTCCTCATTATTAAAAATCGGTGACCTAGAAATATGTATGTCAGAGGTTAGAGTCACTAGCACACCACTTCAAGGCTGGACATGGTTTGATCCACAAACAACGGCTTTAAGTAAAAAGATGTTCATAGGATTATCAAGATCAAATCAGTACAGAGGAATACAGCTTGTTCTTAAAGTTTCTGCTCAATTTCCTTCACTATAACACAAACTCTTACATCCTGTCGGAATTCTGTGACGTCCTCTTTGCTAAAGGATATCTAACAATACTGCCGAAATGTCATATAAGAAGGTATTACTTGATTTTTAGTATTCAAACTGTAATCTGATAATTGTTTTTTTTTTAATTAGTTAGATAGAGTTATGAAAAATATACATACATGAAGCTCAAATTGTTGAAAGTGCTATAAGAAGTAATTGTTCTTGCTTGCGTGCGTGAGTGCGTGTGTGCTTGCGTGCGTGCGTGCGTGCGAGCATGTGTGTTTGTGTTTTATGGCAGCTGTACATGCTTGTCTCGTCGCCTCGCGTGAGTAAATCCAGCAATCATAGATACCTGCACGGCCCACAAGGTCATCGCCATTTAATGGGAGTTGCTGTAATCGCCACACTTGGTAGGTAGTATAATTGGCAAAACCTTAAATGCTGCTTCAGTTTTGGCTCTAATACACCTTAACTTTGATGATGAAAATATGTGTGTGTATAAGTGTTTGGTCAGTGTTTGTCTGTCACTGTCTATTCCATGTTGAGTTGGTAAAGCATTCTACTCAGTGAATAGGCTGTGATTTTTTTTTATAGGATAACGGTGACAAACGTGCACACAGTCCACCTGATGGTAAGTGGTTGCTGCGGCCCATAGACATCTACATCTATCCTCTATTACAAATCAAAATGTAGATGCGTTGTCACCCGTGAGGACTAAGATGGAATGCCTCATTTCCAGTAAAGAGAGCCTCCGGCCACCTGCACTCACCAAGCGAAACGCAGAGGTAAACCTCTACTTCACGCTGGTTTTCTGTGAGGTCGTGGTACCACCCCGGTTCGAGCCGGCCCATCCGTGCGTCAGCAAAAGCTGCCGCGTGGCTCTACCACTGTTAATAATATGTGATAATCTATATCTATACAAATAAATTATATTAAATTGTTTGTTTGTAATGTCAAAATAACAGGTTTTTACTAATTGCATATGAAAGTATATACGGTACTTATAACAAAAAAACGATTTTTAAAATTTTTGTCTGTCTGTCTGTTTGTTCCGGCTAATCTCCGAAATGGCTGAACTGATTTTAACGGCACTTTCACCGGTAGATATCTGATATTATAAGGAGTAATTTAGGCTACTTTTATTTTGGAAAAAGAATTAGGGTTCCGCGCAAAAAAATAAAACCCCAAATTAGGTACACGCGTACGAAGTCGCGGGAAACAGGTAGTTATTTATTTATTTTATTTATTTATTTATTTATTTATTACAATTTTAGGAGAACTTACAGCTGGTTATAAATGTATGAACAATAAAAATAAGAAAATGTACTGAAGGCCAATTAAAAGTTCCCACTTATAAATAAAGTACAGAGAAAAATTGCACAAGTGACGTAGACGTAGATTTAATGACACAATAAAAGATGATTTAAAAAGTAAAATGAAATAAATAACAATGCATGGTATATGTAATACACATCAGTAAACGAAAAACTTATTACTCAGTAGATGCTTAAGCTGCCTGCTAGAGGTGTTAAATAAGTCTACATTTTGTATTTTCGCCACGTCATTGAAACACTTGCTCACTCTTATTAAATAAGAATTTTGCCTGTAGTTTGTATTTACTCCCGGCACGTATAGTTTGCATGGCTTGCGTGAAGATGCGCATGGAACTTGTAAACGTATTTGCTCCAACAGTTCGGGACAGTCGATCGTGCTATTTGCTATATTAATTAGAAAAGATAGATCCGCTATGCGCCTTCTTTCATATAGCGGCAAAATGTGAAACTTTCGGCAACGTGTTGTGTAATTCGGTAGAAAGATCTTAACTCTAAATTGAAGATAGCGAAGAAATTTTTTCTGAATCCGTTCAATACGCGTAGAGTAAATATTATAGGTAGGATTCCATACTTGAGAGGCATACTCTAGATAACTTCGTACGAAAGCACAGTAAAGAATTTTGAAGGTTTTAATAGAATTGAAATCAGAAGACATTCTTAAAATAAAGCCAAGAGCTTTAGAGGCTTTGTTTATAATATTGTCAATATGTTTATTAAACAGTAATTTGGAGTCAAAAATTACTCCTAAATCGCGGATAGTGTTGACTCTAGTTATATCTATATGTTTTATAGTGTAGCGGAAAATTATAGGTTTAGTCTTCCGTGTGTATGTGCAAATATAGCATTTGGAGACATTTAAGTCTAATTTATTGTATAGACAGTAATTTTCAAACCTACCCAAGTCTTCTTGCAAATGATATGCGCTTTCGAGGGACGTTATTGGACTTAATATTTTCATATCATCGGCGTAAAGTAGGATTTTTGAGTACTTGAAACATATGATGATATCATTAACAAAAATATTAAAGAGTAAAGGCCCTAGCAAGGAGCCCTGTGGGACACCAGAAGGTATTGGCATGGCCTTAGAGGTGTAACCATTTAGGGCAACTGTCTGACTCCGATTTTGGACGTAAGAGGTGAACCACCGATATAAATTACCTCGTATTCCTACTGATTGAATTTTGTGTAATAATAGCAAATGGTCTATTCGATCAAAGCATTTGCTATAGTCTGTGTAGACCACATCGACTTGTGAGGGCTCTGACATATGTTCTGATAAGTAGTCAGTACATAATATAAGATTAGTAGTTGTTGACCGACCCTTGACGAAACCGTGTTGTTGAAAGCTAAGTGTATGTTTTAGGGCAGCATATAGTTGATCATAGACAATTCTTTCAAGCACTTTTGCAAATAGACATAATTTGGAAATAGGTCGGTAGTTGTCAACTTGATCTCTTGGGCCTTTTTTGTAAATTGGTGTGACATAAGCCGATTTCCAGATTCTTGGCATTAAACCTTCTGACAAAGAACGCCGATATAATATAGTCAAAGGAAACGCAAGGCTCTTGGCGCACCTCACGATAAAAACAGCTGGTATGTTATCAGGCCCAGCTGATTTACTTAAGTCAAGTGATTTCAAAAGCTTAAATACTTCATCAAATGTGACCTCTATATCCCCTATATCAGATGGTATATTATAGTTCATTTGAGAGGTGACATCTGGGTTAATGTACGTATGGGTACTATTTAAAAAAGTTGACTGAAAATAATCACTAAACAAATTGCATATTTCTGCGCCACAATCTGATGATTTCTTTCCAAAACGTAATACAGCGGGATATGAATTGACTTTGTTTTTTGTTTTTATATAAGACCAAAACGCTTTAGGATTATTACAAATATTTTTTTCAACGTTAGAAATGTATGTATCAAACATTTGTTTTTCCAGAGTCTTGGCTTGTTCTCTGATTCTAATAAATGATTGAAGGTCAGACTGATTCCCGTATTTCTTATATTTCGAGTGATACTTATGTTTTTCTTTCAAAATTTCAATTAGGGATTTCTTATACCATAATGGATATTTAAACCTTGGTGTAAAAGTCTTAGTAGGGATATACGTTTGACGGAGGTCAGCTAATTTATTATAAAACAATAACAAGGCATCTTCTAACGGCTTAGAGTTAAGTTCTTGATGCCAATCAATGGCATCAAGTTTAGAAATAATAGAATCGTAATCACCAGATTGATATAGAAATTTAGTATAGGGACGACTTTTGAGAGTGTGAAGTTGAATAAATTCTGCAACCACACACAGAGCTGGATGATGAGTATCTTCGGGTATTAGCGGGTTTCCGCAGTGGTTAACAGCTAACGTGCTGTTAGAAAATATTAAGTCCAAAATTCTATTATTTGTGTTATGTATATAATTGTATTGTGATAAATTACATATATTAATGTTATCAAATAAATCAAATTGATAAGAGCCCTGTATGTTCTCGGGTATATATGAAATGTTTTGATCACACGACTTCCAGATTATGTTAGGCATATTAAAGTCGCCAAGAATTATAAATTTTTCGCAAGGATGTTTTAATATTGTATCACAAAGTTTTTGGGAGTATGCGGTTAACTGAGTTGGTAGTGAACAAAATACGCTTTGGTTACATATATATACCGTACAAATATGCAGTTTATACACTACCTTAGGATTCCGGCATTTAAGTGTCAATGTTACCCATAAGTCCTCGGCATTTGAACACCAATCACTACGAACTTCTGCTGAGAGGTCCCGGCGAACAGCAATTAACACTCCACCCCCCAATGTTTGATTAATTCTTTTGTAATCTCGATCCCGTCGCCAAACTATGTACCTATCATCGAATAATTCGCTATCTTTAACGCTTTCATTCAACCAAGTTTCTGATAAACATATAACATCATAAGAGTTTATGTTAATATTTCTATAGAAGGCCGAAGTTTTTGTACGTAAACCACGTACATTTTGGTAATATATATTAATCGCCATTTTTGAACATTAAAACTAGTACATAATTAGTTATAATAACAAGTAATAAGTGTAGAAAGGTGGAATAAAGCAATATGTTTGAAAAGATGCGTAAAAAAACGTTAAATTTGTGGGCAACATTAAAAAAAACTAATAATACAATAAGGCTATAAGCGTAAACAAAAGATACAAAAATGCAAAAGCAAATCGACGGTGGAGCGATATAATATGATTGAGTAAACAAGTGTGCAGCGGGAGTAAGTGAATGCATAACGATATCAAGCAGGTAGACAAACTTAAATGTTAGAGGGCAAGCGTTTCTCAAACTAACTAAAACACAGTTAAAAGAGGAAGATGATTTTAACAATATAAAAGCGCTAATTGTAATGACTAGGAAAACTTTTTTAAATCGTATTCCGATTTTATTGTAATTATATGAGACGTTGGGTTTTTTCTTGCAAATATTTTGCATCCCTTTACCCAAACATAAGCAAACCCCCGCTCCTTCGCTAGTTTTTTGGCTTTATTTAGCAACATCTTGTTTTCCAGAGTAAGATGGTCATTAACAAAGATTCTATTGTCACCTCTTAAACCCAGGTCCGCTGGAACAATGGTGCGCTTCTTCGCTGCGGCTACGAAGTCCTCCTTAAGGTATCTATTATGCACTGAGATGATGATTGTTTTATTTAGTTTATCGTTACGCATAGGAATCCTCGCAATGTAATTAATTTGATTTTTTGGGATGACACAATTGATATGATCTCCAAGCTTACTAAAAATCTCGAAAAGGTTTTCTGAGGGTGACATCGGCACTCCTTTGATCTCGATGTTATTCATACGAGACCTTTGTTCAAATTCCCGCATGGAGTCTTCAAAGTTCTCCAGACGTTGCTTCAATTGAACTACATCATCTTTTGTCTTCAGCAAACTCTGGATTTCTTGATTTATTTCTGTGATCTTACTATTCAAAGATTCAACAGAACACTGAACAAATTCCAATGAAGTCCTCATATCAGCCACCGGCTTCATAAGCTTAAGATCTTCGATATCGGCCTTTATGGACTTTAGGTCGGCCACATCAGCTTGTATAGCCTTGACGCTTGCTATTAAGGTAGGAAGTGAGTTCATCTGTGAAGATAAACTTTTAAGCTCCGAAGCAATCATCTCCATGTCCACCAGTGAAAGAGACTTAACAGAAGGTGTATTTTTTGAAAGTGTATTTTTTGAAGGTAGGTTTAGCGGACTAGGAGGTTTGGCGTCCTTGCAAGATGTGCATCTCCAGTTATTTCTTCTATCCTCGCCTAACCTACGGTAGCCAGCTTCCGTTAATCCAGCGCATGGAAAGTCAAAACGTTCTTGGCAAACGGAACACTTTACCCCATCTCTGAAATCTCTGTCACAACGCGTACACTTGAACATATTTTAATAGCTCACTAACAAGGTAGACAAAAAAGTTTGAGAATCGCGTTAATGAGTAATTGCGAACTAGTTTACGCTAGGTACGTGTGTAAGGTCCGGCGTCTACGTACAGTTACATAATATCATTAGCCAATCTATTCTAGTTTTCAATATTATGTAAAGATTACTTCTACAGAAGTCCCAACTCTGGTTTCCAAGACAAATGAGTTGTTGATTAGTTTGGGATTCACTGTCTTATCTACCGACTTCAAAAAAGAGCCGATACTCAATTCTATTTCAATTTTTTTTTATATGAAAGCTGGTGCTTCACATGTGGTCCCATATAAATTTGATCAAGGTCTGACCAATAGTTTTTGAGTTACTGTTAATAATTTATATTGAAGTCGGTTTTACAAAATTTTTAATTTTAAATTATTTTAACACAGTCTTGTGATCAGTTACTAGCGATCCGCCCCGGATTCGCACATGTGATTTCTTAATATCCACAACAGCGCCACCTACCGGGCCCAATTGTGAATGTAAACCATCGTGGGACCCACTCAAAGGCACACAAAAATTTCCTCAAAATTTTTCGAGCCGTTTTCGAGTTTTCACGAGACTAACCGATAGTAATTGATTTTATATATTATAGAGATTTATGCATACCTGTTACATATGGAATGTTTTAAAAATAAATTATTTATTTATTATCTATGCATGAACGGGGCGCTCAAGGTCTAGTCGTAAGAGGTGACAGAGGGAAATTAAAACAGATAATGGACAGCAGAATTCTCCTCAATTAGTTAATAATAAAAATGCGTTTGCTAACCCACCATTCAACCAACATCTTAGTCCCCCCCCCCCCCCCCCGTGTCACGCGGGTGTTTTACAGAATCCATGGTCAGACATGTAATGCACGCGATATTTCGGGAGTTAAGAAGTAAAATTAAAAGCGATAAACTGACGGTTTTCATGCCGTAGTTCGGAAAAAAGTAGCGTCACTGATGGGAAGTATACGGAGAAGTGACAACAGCATCCTGAGAACGGTGGCACATGATCCGCATGCGCCTATTGTGAGACATTTCGTGCGAACGATGACTCATACAGTGGATGGTAATTCTTCTAGGTGTCGACCGCACGGAGTGCATCTTAGGTGCATGGCAAATTAGAATTTAATTTAGTCTAATATGATTTGGTTTGAATTAATTTAATTCTAATATAATGTAATATAATTTCTTCAAAATACTAACACTTACTTTATGAGCGTTAATATAATACTCACCCATGGATCTTTGTTGTCTGAAAATAAATTAATTCGAATTTGAAAATTCCGCAAAATTAGTTTCATTTAATTCTGCATTTCGACGACAACCACCATGCCGCTGTCTATATTCAATTTGATATTGTTTCAGCGAGGCGATGAAGCAGCTGCAACACGAGGATCACGTTACCGAACAGATCAACGACATCCTGCAACACGAGGGTCTGGAGACCAAGGAGCAGCCCGACACAGAGAACATACACAGAATCATAAATAGGTTGGTATTGTTTTTTTTTTAATTTATGTGCACTTGAATGTTATATTGGCATGCAAACCTCCGGGGTCGTCATATCTATGTAAGGCGGGGTGCTACGAATAAACCGAAGTAGATACCTACGTATCTACTTCGGTTTACTCGAATATATTATATATGTAGATTGATACTACTATCTACTATATCTATCTTACTCATTTTCATTAATATTTACAATCTGTTCCCTTAGTTATATATATATCGCAGTATTTACTGTTATGAAGCGAGGTTACGAAACCACTTCCTGTGACACATAATGTGACATAGAAGCTGTTTTTATTTATTACTACAGACTTAAAATAACAGTTTGCAGCGTCGTAGCTATCAAGCTAAGCTACCTTCACTAGAAAATTATTTAGTACGGCGTGCAAAAATTATAATAAAATTAAATATATAATATTAAATTATTATAAACAAATTATTTCTTTAACGGCAATTTATTATTTTAACTTGATTACAAATCGCAAAAAGTACAAAGTTGATGACTGTATTTTATAAGACAAATCGATATTTCGAAACACTTAGGTGGGAATTGATATTTCATATTTAATATTATAGTATTTCTCAGAGCAACATTTAGTTATTGCTTTGAGAAATGCAATATTAAAGTTTAAAGTTGGGTAAACAATTAAAAAAATATATTTTATCAAATTATTTAGACACGAGAAATTAATATTTTTTATGGTACTTTATTTTGATTTCTAATTTTTCTTGTAAAATTTATTTACTGACTCTACTCAACTACCTAAATAGGAGAATAGTTCTAAAGTTATTTATCTGTCGGTCCCATTCTTATTGTGAGACTTCTTCTTATCATTCGCATTGTATATCATTTTTTTCATCATTCCAATTTTTGTATTATCTGTATCGTTGATGTAATAGTCGTAAGTGCGAATAATTTCGGATCGGATTAAAATCAGTTATGGAAATTTTCAGTAGCAAAAAAGTAGAAAATTGGCGCTGTATCATCTCCGTGACATGCAAAACGTGCAAAAGCACGTAAAGCCGTTGGCCGTTGATCTTGCGCCTGATCTCTCTCCGGTCTTGTCACAGTTGCGTTCCATCGGATTATGATAATGAGGGAAAGAGAGAGCACCTGTGACCTCATGATTTTTCACTAAAAGTCCCGCGAAAATAGCTAGTCTCCTTTAAAACTGGCCTCTGTTACCGATGATCGAATCGTTGTGATTTGAAACTCAATGAAATGAAAAAACGTCACTAAAAAGAAACAAGCATGTGCATCTATAGGATTTCGAAAAAAATTAGACAGAATACAGCTTAGTGTTTCCTATTATCTCGGTCTCTTCTTTGTGCTCTGCTTTAATTATGGTTAATATAAATTAACTGTTAAAATAAACAGTTAAAAAAATTAACCATATTAAATAAAATATCACATCCAATCCACGATTTCATAACTTAACGATTTATATTAAATTAGGCGTGTTTAGGCCATCTAGCGTCTATTTTACATACTACCTTGAAAATCAATAAATTTTTTCGATAAAATAACTTTACCTATAGAATAAACTAGATGGCGCTTTTACAAAGCAATTTTATTCGCAATTTTCTGATGGTTTCACTTCTACATATGTGCAGTTCACACACGGTAAAAAAAAGTTTCTGTTCTATTTTTCCGCGTGTGAACTGCACAAATGTTTTATCAATAAAATCAGTATCAGTACTCGTACAGCGTACACTGTAATCCTGTCGTCGTTGAGACTAACCGCCGTGATCTAAATTTAGTTTGACGGAAATAATTAATACATAATTTGTTAGTTCTTTGGTAGCGTCACCAAATAAAACGTTATTTTATGAATTCCAAGGAAAATCATAATATTTAGTACTAGTTTACTGCCGTATCCGTAAAACAGAGTCTTCAGTTTTCAACAAATTGTATGTGTTTAATGAAATATTATTATTCACGACATACTGTTTTTAACAAGGAACAGGATTTATAAAAGGATTTTTTTTATGTAACAACGGTATTTTTTACTACTTAACATTTATAATAACTGATCTACCTCTGCTTTAACTGCGAAACTATGAAAAATAAATGGATACTACTATTTAGTCAAAAAGTAAACAGGTGGAAATATTTTTTCCGTATCATTAGCTTAACAAAATCACAATTTTCAAAGATATCGCGTAACATACTCGTACATTCAACCAAAAGAAAAAAAAATAGCCTAACTGCGAACCAACTACTTTTTTGAACCCCACTATGAATGTGAGATCAAAGAGTTATAGATTTGTCAGTTATTATGCTGTCGATAGTAATGACTCACGACGACTGGGTTGTCTGGAAGAGATTGCTATGTAGCAATAAGATCGCCCTTTGTATTTCCCTAAATAGTTGTTATTTTTTATTTTTGATGTTGTTATCTTTTCTTGGTGTACAATAAAGAGTATTGTATTTTATTGTATTGACTTTTTGTGCCACTAGGTCGGCGCCACTTAAAAGTGAGGTACAATATTTGACAGATTTCATAGCGGCGAAGTTAATTTGTTCGAATAATGTCGAATTTAATGTTTCTTTCTACACTATTAGCTAAATTTTATATTATTAAGATTAAAAATAAATAAACAAAACCACAGATTTTCATAAAAGTAGAAAAATTTAAAAATGTGGAAAATATTAAAGAGCAAACCACTGAGGCATTGTTTTGTGTATTAATAAAATAAATAAATAATCCCCCAGAAACTTATAAACTTTTATTAAAAACTAACTACTCAATTAAATGACATTGTGTAACAAAAATTTTACCTCGGTGTCAACTAGCGACATCTGGTGATCGGATATTATTAGTCCTCATTCATCCACTAGTGAACATTGGTCTCCCCACAGATTGCCTCATAGGGCTCTTAGGCATACCTTCCACGGCTTAGTAACCGTAGCTTTTTAATTTTCAAGTTGTTATAAGAAAGACGCTGATGTCCATTTCCTACTCTCCTTTCTTGAATATCATTCTCGCGGTTAGGCCTAGAGGTGCTTGCACACTATCGAATCGAATACGCATTTTATCTATCTTATTTCGTAATTCTTTTATATGCTTATTAAAATTGTAGAAAGCAATCTTACTGCCCTTCTGAGCTGTGAAAAATTGCCACGTTGCCTGTTTTCTAAATTTTTGACCCAAAATTATAGTAACCTTGTAATATAACGAGGTGATCGCTACCAGGCTATTTCTAATTTGTTTTGTGTTGTTAATTGTGTAACATACATGATTTTAAGCTGTTATTTTTTTAAAGTCCTGCTGGGTTTCTTGCCGGTTCTTCCCAGGACAGAGGTTTTTCCCGAACCAGTGGTAATTAAACATAAGAGCGACTTTCAATAAATATTATTTATAATCGACATTGAATAAAAAAGTTTCTGTTTGCAAAAATACATTGTGTCGTATGGTTTATGAGCCGTGGTAGCTAAGCTACTACAGCAAAGCTACATAGAATACGCAATGTATTAAAAAGTGAGTATGATTTTGATGTCATTGAAGTTAGCGAATGAGCCTGCTTTTACCAAAATAACAAGCTGAAATAGTTAAAATATTTTAACGTGGAAGAGCTATGCTGCAGCTATATTAGTTGTAGTATAGTTGTAGCACGAATGGGTCAGCTCGACCGGGGAAGGACCACGCTCTCACAGAATACCAGCGTAAAATAACAGCTTGACACTGCTATGTTTCGAATGGTGAGTGTAGAGAACCGGAGACCCATTTTACTGGAAAAGAGGTATTCCATCTTAGTCCTCACGGGTGACGACGCATCTGCATTTTGATTCTTTATTGAGGATAAATTTAGATGTCTATGGGTCACAGCAACCACTTACCATCAGGTGGACTGTCTCGTTTGTCACCCTATCCTGTAAAAAATCCTTTCCACCATAGGACAACCAGGCGGTCGGCGGTTCTTCACCCCCTATGTTGTCGATATTCCTCGCATTAGAACCAAAAGGTTTGCTTCGTCTTTTGTAATGCGTACAGCAAAGGAGTGGAATAATTTGCCGGTGTCTACCTTTTCGTCCGAATACAATCTGGGCGTCTTCAAGGCAAGAGTGAATAGGCTTTTGTTAAGACTGTGCGATTTACTATCTAGGGCCCACTTACCACCAGGTGGGATTGTGATCAAGCACTGGCTTATAACAAGTAAAAAAAAAGGACATCTGAATGTTCTTATACTAAGCTAACCCTACTTAACTCACTCTACACTATATTGTAACCATTTCTACTTCTTTACTAGGTGGCAGGATTCCTTTTTCTGCATAAGTAGCTACCACCCTTTTACCTGTATGTGTCGCCAAATAACAGCGCTAGCACTGCTGGTTTCCGGTCTGAAGCGTATAGAGAGCCTGTATAAGTACAGTTTGTGAGGCATTCCATCTTAGTCTTAAGAATCACAACGCATCTGTTGGTTGCAAGTATCCATGGAATGCATTAGCCACCTACCATCAGGTGGGCTGTAGGTTCGTTTGCTATTCCATTTTTAAAGAAAAACAAATACAATGAAGATCATCAGATAAAGCTAGAGAAAAAGATTATCAAATAGAGCTTAGCTAAAGGATATCTAAATGTACCATTACGTAGCCGACCGCAGATAGTAGCAGCAGACGACGTGTCGTCGCGACACGACTGGTTCCTATGTAGTTCTATGAAATACCTTCCGTAGCCAGCGACACGTCGTTTGCCAGAGCGGCAGACGACATGTCGCCCGACCGCATATCAGTAGTGCCGGAAACGCCCGAGCGACACGTTGAATTTTTCTCAAAAAATGAGTTTCACCGATTCCGTGGAAGAGAAACTGATAAACCAGGTGCCTAATATCTTGCACTGTACGATGCATCTCACGATAATTATTTAAACAGTGTGACAAAAGATAGCTTTCTGCGGTCGGCTACGGAATTGTACCTTAAAGCTCAAATTATTGACAAAAAAATTTGTGCGGAAAATTCATGTTGCGAGTAAAAAAGAAGTTTAAAATAAAACGAGGAGATAAAAAATAGTATTGTAGAATACAACGGCATAAAGACGTCATAACATAAAAATTTATAACAGATTAATAAAATACTTTTTTTTAATTGTTTATTCTTTGAATAATGGGTTGCCATAAAAGTAATAAAGTGCATAAAATTGCAATTTCAAAGACATGCAACTATTTTTTTCCAATAGTTATATTTAATTGATATGTTGACTGCCTCGCTGGTGATAGTAAACGCGCCTGCTGAGCATCTGGTACCGGGTTTGAATTTATATCCCGGGTCGGACCACCTGTGCTTACGCAATACACTTGTGTCCTATAATCCAGCCATTGCAGATGGCTAGTCTCTTTTGGGACTGGCCACTGTGACAAAATTTCGGTCTGGAGGACATTTACTGCTATTTACTAACATCATACGCTTCTCCTAATTACTAACACTATAAAATAGCAAGTAAATCACAATGCTTAAAAAATTTTTTTACACCTTCTAGCCGGCTTGAGCAACTAAAAGCGCGAATCGAAGAAATAATGGCGGACGAAAATGCACAAAATGTCTCTGAAAACGATTTAAATACTGTCGAATAAATAATATATAATAGTATTATATAATAACGAGGCTATCTCTATATTAAGATAATATCTATTGGTTTTTAAAAAGTAAAAACGTACACATATACATTATTAAATACTTTTATTTTTGAAAGTGATTAAAGTTCGATGGAATTTTAATTGTGTATTTCAAGGCATGTGAACTAGTATTACTGTACAAAATGTAATTATAAAAATTGCAACTAGATAGAAGAAAATATTTTAACTGTTTATAAACTATTTGTGATAAGATTGAGCCATAAAATGCTTAAAATTAGGAATTTTAAACATTTTGTATATATTGTAAATTAAAATAAATGTAATTTTGTTTTTTCATTGATCTTTTTGTATCATATTTTTAATGTGAACTTAAATGCCATATGGTAAATAGATACTTTTGAAATAAAAAGTAAATGGAATTTATGTGGCCATAATGTGTGATGAACATGAACATATTATTATGGTAACACTACGAGCACGCGTTTGTTACTATAAATGTTTATGCATGGTCGAAAAATTATTCAAAAATGATTCACATTCTTTTTTGTTTAATTGCACTGAAAACATTTATTGAAAACAAAAACCTAATGCGTTATTTTAGATTTAATAAACATTACTTTTTACATTTCAACAACGTAACTACATATAACACGACATAAAAGCCATAATTTTGACACATAAAAGTGTAAAGCGTTGCAAGCGCCAACGAATTTTGTGGTGTAAGATGATACATAAATTGTGAAATATTACGAATATTATCGCGCTTAATCTATACAAATAAATAAAATTGGAGTGTCTGTTTGTAATTTCAAAATTACAGCGTTTTACTAAATGCACATGAAAGTATAAACGGTGCTTATAACAAACATACACTTTTTAAAATTTTTGTGTGTCTGTCTGTCTGTTTGTTCCGGCTAATCTCCGAAGCGGTTGGACCGATTTTGACAGGACTTTCACTGGCATATAGCTGATGTGATAAGGAGTAATTTAGGCTACTTTTATTATAGATAAATAATTAGTGTTCCTTGCAAAAAAATTATAACCCTAAATTGCACGCGGGCGAAGTCGCGGCGAGCAGCTAGTTTTAATTAATCTTAATACCCATACCTTACAGCGGTGCTGTAAAGCACTCGAAACTACGGGAATCAAAAAGAAGTTAAAATTAGGTGTGATAATATCTATTGAATAATTTTTATTCAATGCGTGATAATTGCGTCAAAAATCGCGAATATAGAAATTTTAAACTTCAAAGTCTATTCTACTTCACTAATTCAAATAATGAGACCATCTTAGAGAAGGATCAGAAAGAATATCTGATTTTTAATGTAAGTTAGTTAGTTGATTACAGCATATACACATCCCACTGCTGGGCACAGGCCTCCCCTCATTTCCGAGAGGGTTTTAGGACAAGGAACTTTCCACCGCGTTGCCCCAATGCGTGTTGGCGAACTTCACATGTCTTCGAAATATTTATTTTTCTAATTTCTCAGACATGCAGGTTTTCTCACAATGTTTTCCTTCACCACCGAGCACGTGGTAAATCAGCACTTAAAATTAAAGTTAACAATTTTCAGTGACATTATACAAACTGTGTAAATATTCGAACTGAAATAATTACAAAAAATACTTAAGTAAGTTTTTTTTTATAAAATTGTAGTAACAAACGAAATTGCAGTTCACCTAATAGTAAATGGCTACTGTGGCTACAGCCCTGTGGACGCCTGCCACCAACTGCAGTCACTTCGGAGATCTTTAACGCGGTAGAGCCATGCTGCAGCTATATTAGTAGTATAGTTGTAGTACGAATGGATCTGCTCGACCGGGGTATATGGCCACGCTCTCACAGAATACCAACGTACAATAGCAGCTTAACACTGCTGTATTTCATATGGTGAGTGTAGAGAACCGGAGACCCTATTTACTGGAAACGAGGCATTCCATCTTAGTCCTCACGAGTGACAACGTATCTGCATTTTGATTTCGTCATAGATGATAGATGTAGATGTCTGTGGGCCACAGCAACCACGTAACATCAGGTGGACTGTGTGCTCGTTTGTCACCGTTATCCTATATAAAAAAAGATCTAAGATAGAATGCCTTACAGCTTGTAACTGTATTCGTTATCTGTGCTAACTCTTTATAACCTTTAAAGCAGAACACAGCTGTGCAAGCACTGTCAATGGTGGTATCTATTTAAACAGAGTTAGAAAGAGTTCTACCACCTCATTTAGTCATAATAACACTTGAATCGATAATAAGTAAATTGTAACGGTCGCCACGCACGTATGGCGTTTTAATTTTTAAACTTGTACGCTTCTCAATATGATAAAAAATAAGTTTTACTTGAATTGAAAATACAGTAATACTTTTAACGTGGTAGACCCACGTTGCAACTATATCATTGTTGCAGCAGGAAGAAGTCGGCTCAACCGGAGAAGGACCGGGGAAACAGCAGCTTAATTCTGTTGTGTTTCGTATGTTGAGTGTAGAGCACTGGAGAACCTTTTTAGTGATAACTCAGGTGGCCACGCATCTACATGTTGATTTGAGGATAGATGTAAGGGTCCATGGGCCACAGCGTTCACTTACCATTAGGTGAACTGTGTGCTCGTTTGTCGCCCTTATTCTATAAAAAAAAAACCCTTAGTAATAAACGTAAAAAAAACTAATTTGTCAGTTTTGTGTTTTGCGCAGTTTACTAACCTTTTTATGCTCTTCAATTTATTTTTCAACTTTAATAAGTAAGAGAAAGCAACTCTATAATATCAAGAATCATAACCGAATCAGACATATTAAACTATTGTGATAAATAAACTAGTTAATATTTAAGTAGGTATGTATGTAATAAAATAAATATTTTAAAATTGTTTTTTGCAGTTTAGTGCAATGTGTGATTATTAAGTTTTTTTTTTTCATAGAGTATTTAATATTCATATCAATTGAGATAATATTTACGAGCTATCTGTGAGAACTATACGTCATAATTTTATTTAGTCGAACGACATATTTGTATATGTCAATAAAAAACCTCCATAATATGAACCATAAGTTCGCTCACGTTATCAGACACTAATTCTTGCAACGCACACAAACAAGCGCAAAAAATAAGTAACGCGATGCTTGCGTCCAAAGAGTATATTATAATTACTACGTTTACCTGCGTCAGCAGTGAATATCGCGTTGTTTTTAACCGACTCCAAAAAGGAGGAGGTTCTCAATCCGAGTGTTTTTTTTTTAGTTATTTTGATGATTCTTCTTTTACGTGTTAAGCCTTTCTTCAGCAATATTATTATGGTTGTAGCACGAATGGGTCGTCTCGACCGGGGTAGGACCACGCTCTCACAATACCAGCGTAAAATAGCAGCTTAATGCCACTGTGTTTCGTATGGTGAGTGTAGGGGACCGGAGACCCATTTTACTGGAACCGAGGCATTCCATCTTAGTCCTCAGGGGTGGTCAACACATCTGCATTTTGATTCTTAATTGAGGATAGATGTAGATGTCTATGGGCCACAACAACCACTTACCATCAGGTGTGCTGTGTGCTCGTTTGTCACCCGCATTCTATAAGAAAAATCTTAAGGTTATACTACTAGGATGGCGTCGTAGCAAATAATAACTTCTTATTTAGCAATTTGAATTCGTATTTACTTTTTTAAAGTTATAATTATATCTATGTGCTCTGGGTGAACTGTAGGGGAACTCCGCGTTTGTTTGTGTACGTTGTAAGATGTTCGTTTGAAGATTCCGCACTATCCGTTCACTACAATACTACTAAAAGTAGTAAAATCCAAAAAAAAAAATGGTTGTTTTACAATTTAGCAATAAAGACTTCAGTCTACTACTCAAGTAGATAAAGACAAAACATGAAACTTAAATCCGCTCAGGGTTTAAGTCGCTACTAAAAGTAGCAAAATTCAATTTTAGCTTGTAGTTATTTATAAATAAAGGTGTCAACTTCCCAACTTGTACGTATTATATAAAGGCATGATTTTATTTTTGTTAATGTTTTTAAATTTATTAATGGCTCAAAATTTCCTTATTTTTTTTTTTAATTTTAGAACTATTTTTAAGTCTTATTACACGTGAATGTTGTTTGTATATATCACATAATATTTACATTTATTAAAGTGTTTGAGAGAGTCGCTGGTTTCATTTCCCCAACCTTTTTCAGTTTTCTCCTACTGCTGCCGCGCGCCGTACTCTCGGATCCCGTGGGTTCTGACTACGAGCACTATATACACGACGCGCAACGTCACTATCAGGTAAATACCGACCTGAGTAGGTTCTGGGCTAGATTCCCGGCTGACAACTATGTTAAATTACATGGATTAATGGTTTTCTAATTTGGGTCCGGTAAGCGAACTGTAGAGCGCCCCCCCCCCCCCCCCCCCCAATAGATGGAGTGACGACCTAAGAGATGCAGGAAGTCTATAGATGTAGGTGGCTCAGGACCGTGCATTTTCAGTAGTGGACTTGTAAATGATGATGATGAAGTATGGTGCCTGTCTCAGTATCACTTGGCTTCATTGGACTTTACGTTGGATCTATCTCTTTATCAACCCGTAAAAGTTCTCGCTGTTGGAACAGTCTCGTGTAGAAAGAATGTTGGTATGAAAGTCTTCATCCTAGTCTAGTTTTGATTTCATCAACTTGTATCAACTTACTTCTGGGTCTTTTACCAGTGTTTTCCATAATCATCTCTTACGACACCCACGGGATGAAGGAGGGGTGATGGATTATATTACGCTGCTACCAGTCACGGCGGCCAGCCTCAACGTAGACAGGATTATAGTGCCCGAGTGTGTGCGCAAACATGTGCACTCTCTATTCTTTCACTCTCATAATCCGATGGGACGGTAAGCCGATACGACCGGAGATCAGGCGCAGGACCAATGGCTTTACGTGCTTTCCGAAGCACGGGAGTAAAACACCGCCTAATACTGAGAATTTCTTGACAGAAATAACCAACAATTGATTTTGCTCATAATCAGCTGTCACGATAACAAACATATACTATAACACATATGCGACCACACTAGATGGTATGTTGTATACGTGGTAGAGCCAGGCTGCAGCTATATTAGTAGTATAGTTGTAGCACGAATGGGTCGGCTTGACCGGGGAAGGACCACGCTCTCACAGAGTACCAGCGTAAAATAGCAGCTTGACCCTGCTGTGTTTCGTATGGTGAGTGTAGAGAACCGGACACCCTTTTTACTGGAAAAGAGGCATTCCATCTTAGTTCTCACGGGTGACAACGCATCTGCATTTTGATTCGTAATCGAGAATAGATGTAGATGTCTATGAGCCACAGCAACCACTTACCGTCAGGTGGACTGTGTGCTCGTTTGTCACCTTTTCGTATACAAAAAAATGTGATTGTTTTTCTCACAAAGACCACCCTGTTCACATGTTGTCTTCACTGATTGTTTTTATTTCTAGCTCTGGCTAGATGTTACATCAAATTTTAGTTGGCCATCCGACCAGAACTGCGGCGATAACACTGCAAGCTCCACGCATAGCTACGACAGTAGACCAGAGGCTGATATACACATGAACGAGGAGTTTCAACCATTGCATCAGACTATGGACCATAAGGATACCTGGATCAAAGACCATTACCCTATGGACGATAATAATCATTTCTCGCAGAAACTAGTCTTAAGAACTCGGGATGTAAATACCACAGCCGTGGAAGAGGAGTTCGATGAAGGTCCCTTCTTCAGAATGCTGTTCAAGTTGCTGTCGAATATGCCTTATCAGCCCTATCAAGTCAATTTGCACCTTACAGCTATAATCTCAAAGTTAGCTTTGATCCCGCACCCGTATCTGCACGAATATCTTTTAAATCCAATGTTGCCAACGTCCAAAAAGACACCGACACTTTTTAAAATACTTCAAGATGTCGCGAGGAGGTTGACGATGGAAATACCGAGGATAAAGAATTATAAAAAGGTGATTGAGAGCACTAGGCTTCAGCTGATGAGTGAGGACCCCAGTTATGACGACAGGTATGTCTTCATCAACATAATCACCATTACAGCCTATCAGTCTACTATTGAACATAGGTCTCTCCATAAATTACCTCATAATATCCCTTCTTTTTTACCATAATTACCACACTTGGCAGGCGGGTTCCCAACCGCAGTTTTTTATTTTCTAGTTACGTGGTAGACCCATGCTGCAGTTATATTACTGGTATAGTTGTAGCACGAATGGGTCGGCTCGATCGGGGAAGGACCACGCTCTCACAGAACACCCGCGTAAAATAGCAATTTCGTATGGTGAGTGTAGAGAACCACATACCCTTTTTACTAGAAACGAGGCATTCCATCTTAGTCCTCACGGGGGACAACGCAGCTGCATTTTTATTCGTCATCGAGGATAGATGAAGATGTCTATGGGCCACAGCAACCACTTACCATAAGGTGGACTGTGTGCTCGTTTGTCCTACCTACCCTATAAAAAAATATATTGAGAAAACTCTGGTACCCATCTCCTGGTTTTTCCCTCCGTCGCCTCTTACGACACCCACAGCACGATAAGGGTATATTCTTACACCGTAATTGCACGGATAAATTACTTAAAAAGGTGTGTAAAGGTTGGGTACAAAGGGTTACAAAGATATGACTTTGTAGTTCAATTTTTGTATTACAGAATAAGGTTGACAAACGAGCACACCGTCCACTTTGATGGTAAGTGGATACTGTGGCTCACACACATCCACGTCTATCCTTGATTAAGAACCAAAATGCTGATACGTTTTCACCACTGAGGACTAAGATGAAATGCCTCGTTTCCAGTAAAAATAATTTCCGGTTCTCAACACTCACCATACGAAACACAGCAACATTGAACTGCTTTTCTACGCTGGTATTCTGTGAGAGCGTGTTCCTACCCCGGTCGAGCGGAACCATTCCTGCTACAACCATAATATAACTGCAGCGTGGCTCTACTATGTGTTATCTATTACCGTTACAGTTATCGTTATCGTTACTGTATATCAAAAGTTCACTGCTGATCATAGGGTTCCCCTGTAGATTGCCTTTTTGGGAGGATACCATGGTAGATTTCGTAGTTGACGAACTGGTTTGCAACCGCAGTTTTTTTTTGTTGTTATAAAGAAGTCGCTGCTACCTATTTTCTATTAGTCGTGTTCTCAGTCGTAAATTGAAGTAATCTATTTGTGATATTACACTGGAATAGTCTTACTCGGTTCTAAATTTGACCATACATTATTCGAATTCTGGACGTAAGTCTGTTCTATAAGTAAAAGTTTTCATTTATCGTTGATCGGTGAATATTTGGCAATTTTACTCAGCTACTATCCATTACCTAGATTTGGTTCTTGAACTTCGCTTATCTGATGACCTCTGTCAATTTAGAAAGAGGAAAGAAAGATATGGAAGGGATATGGTGAATTAGTAAAACGATATATCGAGGGAAAATGTAGGAAAAGATTATAACAAAATATTCTTAACCCGAAAGGTTTCAGTCTATTAGGAGTAGGAATAATTTACGTCTAATATTAAACGTTTTGTCTTAGGGTGTTACCATACCAATCGATCGATCGTCGATCGATGGGGGACTGGATTAGTCTACGTCAATCGATTAATTTCTACACACCGATCGCTCGACAATAGAATGGATTGGTCGTCGTCGATCGAGCTGCTTGATTATGTAAAAGCCCACCCCGCTCCACCGACCGCATTTTAAAAGATATTGATAATTAGCCCACAACCACATCGAATAATTGTCGATCGATGGTTGAACAACGTTTTATCGACCAGTATCCGTTGATCAGCTAAAGTTACCACACACCAATCGATCGACATCGATCTACGATCGTGGTAACACCCTTTAAGATAAAAATTAATAAGCCACGTCTTTCGTAATATTGTATTTTTTTCAGAGGTGACCATAACCAGCTGGTGGAGAGCCTGATCGTTTTAGAAGAGTTCTGCAAGGAACTTGCTGCTATCGCATTTGTAAAATATCAGCATGGGATGCATATGCACGGATAAATCTATATCAGTGGTCGAAGAAATCGCTTAATTAATTTATTAAAAAATGCCTTAGTAATTAAAAAAATATTATCGCTTTAAAAATATAAATAAATAGTTATTTTTTTGTTTAATATTTAGCTTTGGAACTTCAATTTGAAAATTCAAAATACTTTTATTTCAAACCATAATACGCTTAGTGATTTTTATAAAAATACATAGTTTAAAAATTACCATGTTAATAATTTCAGTTATGTCTGTACATTAATATTATGATATATTATTTTTTTCAAAATACTAGCAATATTACCATATAAAGACTTACTTATTTATATTTCTGGTTAAGCACGTCAACTAAGCTTATAAATTAATAGTAAAGAAATAACAGACAGTAACCGAATGACAAATTCGAACTCACGGTCTTTTGAGTTTGCGGTCCATATATTAAAGCATTAAGGTGAATGCGCACTTGTAGGTTTATTCGCGTCGAACGAGCCACAATCTGTTTAGTTGATTAAAAACCGCTTGTAGAAGCTCATCATCTCATTCTTTAGTCGAATCCCTAAACATAGAAAATGGAATGTTACTTGTTTTTGCTTCTTGTCTTTCAGACATTCCCCTTTCAATTGCAGTTTGAGTTTCTTTGCGAGCTGCTTTGGCAGTGATACATTTAGGATTCGGGAGGCATTAGCAGTGCCTGATTTAGAGTTCCGACAGCCCTGGGCTACCTATGAATATGCGCCCCCCACTGGCCTGTTCTGTCTGTGCCTGTCCAGTCCACGAATACATTTACTAAATGTTTATATTTTATTAGCTTTCCACCGCGCAGTTTCGCCCACATTAAATCAAATTTTCCTGATAGTAAGTGTGGACCATGTCCACGAACAACTGCAACACCAGGGAAATTGTAGATACGTTGTCGGCCTTTTAAAAAGGAATTAGCTCGTTTCTTGAAGTTCTCTAAGTCGTAGCCGTCCGAAATAATCGCGGGTGGTAGATGATTCCACAAAGAAGTCTTGCGAGGAAGAGAACTACTCGTAAATCGCAAAGTCATGGTGGACCGCCAAGCATCTAGATGGTGTGGGTGATTTGTCCCGATGTGCGTTGGCGGAATTTAGCTGCTGGAATTAATCCGAACAATTTGTCTATGTACTCTCCGTGGAAAATGCGATAGAAAATGCAACATATCTTCGCAGCGCTAGTAAATCGAGTCGATCAGAAAGAACTCGGTCGTCGACGATTCGAGCCACTCTTCGTATTGGATGCGATCAAGTGAAAGGAGCTAGCACTGGGGTGCCCTGGTCCAGAGATGAGAACAGTACTCCATGTGAGGACGAACTTGCGCCTTGTAAAGTTGCCTAGTCAGCCTGTGGGTAAATCAGGCCCGTGACACGCGCTGTCCACGTGTAACGCAACTGGAAGAATGATTACGTCATCAGAATTCGTCCGAGATTTGGTTGCCTTCCAAAATTTTCGGCGTTTTGTCGCATTTGGTGCGCACTAACATTTAATTTAAAGAATTTTAAAAGCTCGTTGGACTGGTTCGGCGCGTATAAAGCGAACAAATTCAAGCTTACTTATAAGCTTATGTCGCATAATTAAGAATAACTAATACTGAAAATGTACGGTGAACAAATAAATTTTAGGACATTAAAAAAATTGTATTAAAGCTTACATATACTTGTTCTTTAAGGTAATTTATTTATTATTTATTTATATAAGGCGAGGAAGTTGTCGACCCTACTTCATTTCCCTCTGTCGCGTCTTACGACACCCATGAGTTGATTAGGGGTAATGGATTAGTAAGGTTATGTCTTCACTCGCTTGGATTTCCATACTACATTACAACCACCTTATGATATGTACTACTTTGAATTACTTTTGACACGGAATGGAAGCGCCCTAAAATTGATTTGTACATCCGATATTTTCCACATTACAATGTAATAAAACCAGAAATGTTTTGTATTACATAAATTGGTAATATTTAACAAGAGTATACTGTTTCGTAATAAATATGTTTTTCTAACCCATAATTAAGACTGAATCATTGTATTATTAATGTACGTATGTTTGTTGACGCTGCAATGAAATTTAACCACTTTATTAGACGCTTATATTGCTATCTATATATGTATAGGGAACGTGAAAATATTTCGCAAGGTATAGAAGGACTATATAACCAGTTCAGTTTAATTAATGTACAATTATGCTGAATAGTGTTGATGAAAACAACGCAAATTTAGGGGGAGATTTTTGTTTTTATTATATTTATTGTCCGATTTACTTAAATTAAAAAGTAAAGTTACAGCCGATATACATCCCACTGCTGGGCGCAGGCTATTTCTATTTATTACTTATTTTATCGATATTCCGAACGCAGCAAGTCCATATAAAATCTATAACCCGTCACACCCGTACGGTAGTTTTCCGTTCAAAATTTTGCGGGCAAAACGGGGTTCCGAAACGGAATTCCGTATGTATGTGGCGGGCCTTAGTGCAAGGACTTCGCATATCGCCGAGATAATCATTTTTAATTTCTCAGACAATCAGATTTTACACCGCTGAACACGTGGTAAATCAGCCCTTAAAATTGCAATTAACAATTTCATTGTTGATGGCGGGGTCGAACCCGGTTTCAGTTTGTATGCTATTCTTGTCTTTAGCAATTGTTTTATGGTGTTCTAAACATAGGTTAAATTTATATCATGATGCTTGAATGAATAGTCATGTTCTAGTTATGTATATTGTTAAATAAAAATATTTTCGTTTGTTTTGTTTATTGAAAAGGTGTCCGTAGACTCAATCACGCATTAAATAGTGAATAAAATTTGACAACAAGATTAGACAATGCTCTGTAATGGGATTGTGTAGTAATGGTGGAAATTGAAATAGATTTTTTTAATTCAATATAGATTATAAATAATACGCTTCTTTTGCTTAATTTACCACTGGTTCGGAAAATACCTCTGCCCTGGTAAGAATCAGCAAGAAACCCAGCGGGATATATAAAAAATAAAGAAAAGAACAGTTTACAATTTTCAATACTATAAATCACTCCACAACTATGCAATGTATTCTAAAAATAAGATAAAAATACAATAATAGGGCTTAAAATACGATAGATATATTTACACAATACAACGAAACAAAACCACGATACCCACCATTATTACACAATCATACTCTTAGACTATGCTAAGATCGCACTGCTGGAAAAAAATATGATATTTTTTACTATTAAAAAAATATAAGTTATTTCACGAGTGAAGCAGCGTAAAGCAGCTATACTAGAATTATTTTGTCCGTGCAGTTTGGGTCATAAATCATCGGAGTATTTCGCTCTCTCTCCTACTCACGGGCCTTACGGGCGAGCATAGCGATGCGCATTATTGTTGTCGATAAGCGTTATCGATAGTGTATTTATTTTTGTCATTATGTGGTTTAGTGATAAAAATGAAAAAAAAAATAGATAAAACAACGTATTTATTAACATAAGCCGTGTACCTGCCTTCGATGATTCATTTTTTGTTATCGATAATGACGTTGCGCCTGCGCAATATGCTCACCGCCCTAGCCGGGCTGAGACCGAGCTTTTATGATTTTATGACCCCTACTGCACGGACAAAATAATTTTACTATAGTTAGAGATGGGTAAGTCCGAGGACATTCTGAAGTGAATCGAGTAATACATCCAGTCCAGCACTAAGGAAGTTACAAACATCTACAGTGTTCCCTGAATCTGGATTGGTGCAGCATTCCTATGACGAGGACAAGGAGTAGACTGCAAAAACAAAGAACATCTATGTTTCACTAACCCAAATCTAATTAAGGCATAATATTCATTAAGTATTTAATTTTTTTAATATGTATTTATTATTTATGATAATAATACGGAAAAGTATATCTAGTTTTTTATTTGTCAATGAAAAAAAAATCAAGAAAAATCTATAATAAAATATTTTTAATCAGTATTATAGAATTACTCGAAAAAGGCAATCCAGTTTCTGCTGATTCATATCCAACCGGACCTACCCATCTCTAAAGCTAGCATTATTTTAAAACTATTTCCAAGATTTTGAAGAATTCGTTTTATATTAAGTATATTTTTATTTATGTGGTTCTCAATAAAAATATATTTCGGAAGCAACGTTACCAGGTTTATATTTAAATCACTAGCTGTGCCCGCGGCGTAGCTCGCGTATACAGGTTTTACATAAAGAATTTGTCGTTTAGGTAAGAGAATATTAAACGATTTATTTCATTACTGTATCAATAAGTGGTAACAAAATAAATCATTATCATCAAAGTTCTAAGTCGTTTATGATAGAGCTTCTGTGTAAACGACGTTAGAAGTAGGCTTAGCCGGGGTATACACAAAAAGGTTACGGGGGCTACTAACGCGGGAAAAAGCAACATAGAGTTGGCCATGTGCAAAACAGTCAGTACTGAGCACAGAACACTTAATATAGATATTAGGTGTTCTGTGGTACTGAGGTACACTCCTACAACGCGTAAAGTTTGACCTTGCGCTTTATTTACGGTCATCGCATAACACACACTCACTGTAACTGGGAACTGAACGCGCTTAAAACTGAAAGGAAAGTTACTTCTTAATAGAGGGTTTTTGGGCAGTGCTGCCAGATAAAAAAAACTCATTCAGCTCTAGGACAACACAAAAAGCGCTAGATTTCATGAAAACAGCGCTTTAAAAAAGCCCTAGTTTTCGCGCTAAATTAACTACAAACAAAGTTTGTGTTTTTTTATATAATCATAATAAAGAAAACAACATTAAGTTTTTTTTCTGGCAATATTTTTTTTATGTATCAATACTTCGCAGGACATCGACTTATAATTATAGCAATTGCTGTCAACAGTAGTTAGTATTGTACGAACAATAAAAATGTCATTAATTGTTTTAAAGTGCAATGTATTTCGCAACTTAGTTTCAGATGTCAGCATCTGATTGCGGTTGCTACACAGTTTCTTTGTGTTATAACTTCTAAGTAACTTTTAACTTA